ACAATTAACATGCTGTCCTCACGGACTGCACAAAGGGCCCAAGGACCGCGGCAACGGACATCACAAGACAAACAATGAACGAAACTGTCCTCACGGGCAGCCTACACGACATCCACAACCGCAGAAGTGACTTCCGCGAAGTAGAAACACCGCGAACCACCCACGATGCGGAACGACAGCAGAGCACAACAGCCACAGCTCTCCACCAACAACCGCACCAACGCCAACCGGCGCACCAACCCACCACCACCCGGTGCAACCGAACAAACCCAACTGCAAGGGGGCTATGCACGAGGACCACCTCCGCTAAGTACTGTCCTTCTCCTAAATGCTTCACGAGCAAAACTACTTAAACAACTAAAGGTCCGATCGTCTTCAAGCACCCTACTGAAATCCCACCCCGCCCCTCCATTCGATATACCCATACTTGCTAAATCTCTAATGTCATCATAGTAACAGCATTCCGTCAGTATATGCTTCCAGTCCTCAGTCATCCCGCACCCACATAAATCCGTCTGGGCAAGGCCTCTCTTATGCAGAAAAGCATTGAGAGAGCCATGCCCCGTCAGAAAGAAACCAGTACTTAAGACGAAGCGAAAGTCTGGCCGGTCCACTACGAACGTTGCGTCACGAATAAATTCGTATGTCACCCTCCCTTTGTCACTGTTCGTCCACCTTGTCCTCCACCTATCAACAACACAATCCCGAAGGATTGTGCTGTACCGCCTACTCTCCCCATCCACCAAATCAGAAGGCCTGAGCCAATCATCCAACTGCAAACCACGCTTAAGCTTGTACATAATAGCCCTACATCTCACTTCAAGATCAAGCGGCGCGGCGCCAAGCAGCACCTGCAACGCCTCTGTTGAAACAGTGCGACACACTGGCAAGCACGCTAACATGACGACCCGCTGACACGAAAGGAGCTTCTTCTGCCCAAAGACAGAAGAGGCAGTTCTGTACCATATAGGTGCACCATAAGTTGCGCAGGCAACAAAAAGCCCACCATATATGATTCGCACAGAACGCCTACTCAAGCCCCAACCAGTCCGCAAAACACGCCTGATGGTCCCAACGACCGTTGTCAGCTTCTCCTTCAACCGATCGAAGTGCGGAAGATAATTCAAACGCTCTGACACTGTTATTCCGAGATATTTAACAGTACACGAATACCTTATGCCACGTTCTACCCTCGGTAAAACCGAACTGATACAAGGACGTACCTTCGCTGTAGCTGTCCCTAAGCCGTGCCACCATAATCCTCTCCAGTACCTTTCCAAGCACTGGGAGAAGGCTTATGCCCCGATACGAGCGAGGATCACTCCTAACCCGATCAGGCGACTTAAGCAAGACCACAACCCTGGCACACTTCTAAGTACGCGGGAAGTATCCATGACGAATGCAGCTGGAGAAAACGGACTCGATATATTCCGACATAACCTTCCAAATGGCTTTCACCATCCTTCCAGTCATACCATCCATACCTGGCGATTTTCTACTTCTAACTCGGCAGATACTGTCCACAACTTCTATACGATTCAAACGCGTAGGCTCCCTCATTTCATCAACAACCGGAGGAAATGATGGAGTCTCCGAATCTGGAAAGAAAGTTCCCAACAAAAGCCCTACGCTCTCCCCCCACCCCGAGGTGGTTGTCGCAGAGCTGCTACGCAACCCCTGTCTCTTAGACCCACCATGCCGGCACACACGGTATACTATACCCCATGGATCATCTCCATTGTCCCGTACGAATCTCCTCGAATTGTCTTCTTTACTCCTAGACAGCTCGTCTTTGTACGTACTAAGAGCAGCAAGGAGCTCGGATTTACGCTGCGCTAAATCTTCCGCATTGACACGCCTGGCTCTTTGGAAGCGCCGCCTAAGACGCCTGACTTGCCGCCGCTTGGTAGTTAGCTCGCGGGTCCACCATTTGACCTTACTCAGCTTAGTCTGACGGCGTCTACCGAGGAGTACGTCATTGACGCTGCTCATCCACTCGTTCAACAAGCTGACCTGGTCATCTATGGTCCGTGCCCTAAAGTCCACAAGTGGCAAAGCCAACTCCCTGACACAGTTCGCATAATGGTCCCAGTTCACATCTCGTTCCTTCCAACCACTGAAACGCTCAGTTCCCTGCGTACGTCCCCTCGGAGTGGCCAAAATCTCAATGAGATTATGGTCACTCACACCCCAGTCTTCGCAAACACTCCAACTAAACTGGTAAGCTGTCATTGCTGCCCCATTTGCAGCCGTCACGTCTATGTCACTCACCCCGGAGGGACCATCAAAGGTATACAGATCCGAGGGCTCATTTAAGATCTCGACGCCCCTCGCTAACACCCATTCACTAAGCGCTTCTCCTCGGATGCGATTCCGATGACCAGATGTTGACCTGGTCATCTTGGAGAACCACAGCGAGGAGGTTGCGTTCGCGTCTAGCCCTAGGATTAGCGGACAACTACTCTCGAGGAGTAGTACCGTATCCATATACCTTAAATATGGCTCCAAAGGTGAGCTGAATTGGCAGTAGATGCTAGCCAGCAACATCTTCCCTCCCGCCCATTCAACGGACACAGACACTCCCTCAGGTTGGCTACTTCTAACAGTACAGTCGACGTCACTGTCAACAACTATTATAGCAGAGCCACATCCCTCGTCCGTAAAGGCTCGCATCCCCCCCGGCAATCCACGCACACAACCATCCCTACAGTAAGGTTCTTGCACCAACGCGAACATAGTGCCCATACGGAGCAGAGCCTGCACGAACTCGTGCATGACCGACGCAGACCGCTGGCAGTTGTACTGGAGTATTCTTATCATTAGTGTCTAGCGTTTGCCCTCGCCGCCAACGCTGCATAAATCGGGCAGTCACTCGACAGCATGAAATGGCCTGCTGGAAGACCCTTAAAGGCGCAATTCCGACAATGGATGGGACCGTCACAAGATGTGCCTACATGCCCAGAACCACAGCAACGCCTACACACCTCGGCACTCATCCGGCAATCTCTCACCCTATGGTCAAAGCCGAGGCACCGATAGCACACCAGAACCGCATCCTGCCTGCGAGCGACAAACCTGAACCACTGGATGTAGGTTCCCTCCGAACAGAGCTTCTCCGCCATGCGTTCCGTACACTCCAGTACAACATTTACCCTCGCGTCGACACCACCCGGCTTCCACGGTCCGCTCACCAGCCTTACACTCTTCTTAAACACCTCCTCGGACATCAGCTGAGCGAAATTCATTTTATAGACATCACCCATGAACTCTTCCACAGTCAGCTCCGCATGTACACGCTGCACCACAACAAGAGGCCCAAGCTTGTCACGAACCGACACTTCCAAACCAACGTCCGCAAACTTCTTGTTCGCCGCAATCTTCTCTCGCTCCGCAACAGACGGAGTACGAATAACCGCATCCCCGTCCTTCATTGCCTTCACCTCATGCACACGGACTTTCAGCGTGGGCCCCACCTCATCAACCACCTTCTTCATCCCCCTTCCTATCCCTCATCACCACCGACCAGGTTTCCACAGCCGGAACACTCACCACTGGAGGTCGCACCGACAAACCAGCTACAGATGCAGAAGCTGAAGCTACACCAGCAGACGAGACAGGCCCCTTAGCAGGGCGACCAGGAACCCCTGCACCCAACATGCTCTCAAACGCCTCCAATTTGCCTTTCAGCTTCTCATTTTCAATAAGCGCTCTCATCAGCAACTCTTCATAGCGACTGGCCAGCGAGATTACCTCTCTCGTAGTGTCTGAGGTACACTGACTATCACTCAGCAAGTCAAGGAGACAATCAGTAACGTTCTTAAGGTCGCTCACCGTTACCCCACCAACTGACTTAAGCGGCGATCTCTTCGCCCTAGGCCGACTCTCCCTCTGCACATCTCTTGCAGCCTCACCACTGGCATCCGCTGACGAAACATCCGCGTCTCTCAGCACTCTGGACTCAATGACCAGAGGCCTCTCTCTCAGCTCGGCAGGCACCACTGGCACTTTCTTCGGCGACTTCTTCTTCTCTGGAGTCCCCAATTTAACTCTCTTACTGTCCGACTCCATTCCGTCCGAACTCTCCTCCGCATCCGCATGCCTCGATCTCCAGAAGGCGGCGGCATCAGCGACGCAGACGACGCACTCCCCTCCATCAGACGCAGACGACGCACTCCCCTCCCCGTCAGACGTATCCACCGTCGAAGCCACATCGCTCGCCGGCTCACCCCCCTTATTTTTCCTTGCCGCTTTTGGAGGCATAGCACACCAGCCAAATGTAAATGGAAGCACCACTTACCTTAACCTCGTTGTCCAAATGAAAATCCGCGTCAGAAACCAAGGAACCACAATCACAATCTAATCAAAACCACGATCCAAAAGAATAGCCAAAAACGTCCCGAGATCACTATTGTCCAAATCACTCACGGAACAGGTATGATGGATGCTGAGACACCTCCGGATTACCCCAAAGGATTCCCCAACAACACTTTACTGTGACCGACAGAGTAAGAAAATTCAATTTTTTCGCACCGATTTTTTCGCTAGGCTACTTTAAATACGTGTTGTTCGCTCAAATGCTAAACTCCAAATGACTCACAACTGAATGCACCATACAAAAAACAGCAAAATATTTTTTTACTGCGAAATGTCACCCTTTGATCGATACTTTACGAGAGAAATACAGTCATCTGCCGAAAAAATAATGGATTTTTTTTTCCTCAAACTAATATATCACAATCCCCAGTCTTGATCTAAACCACAGTACATTTTTAGGTAGATGAAAGTATAGCGTTGTTTTAAAATTAACTGAAATTACATAAATTTTTCAACAACCAAAAATTGTATACGACCTTTAAACTTTTAAATATATGTAGCAAAAATCAATCATGTAATACGAACAGAAAATTTCAATTTGTTTTTAAATGCCCATATATACATTATGTATTTGCGAAATAGAAAATAGTTGTTGTATTATCTTTATTTGCTCGGTTATCTTTTAGGTAAATCTAAACGAGCAAGTGCTCTTGTCGCTGCTGTGGAAAAGGCAACTGAAAACTTTATTCAAAAGGGGGAACAAATTGCCTATGAAAATCCTGACATTACACAAGAAATGCTCTCGGCAGTTGACGAAGTTCGAAAGTCCGGCGATGCAATGAGTATTGCTGCGAGAGAATTTTCGGAGGATCCATGCAGTTCCCTTAAACGTGGAAACATGGTTCGGGCTGCACGTAATCTTCTTTCGGCAGTAACCCGACTGTTAATTCTTGCTGACATGGTTGATGTACATCTTTTACTAAAATCGCTGCATGTTGTAGAGGATGATTTAAATCGTCTGAAAAATGCATCAAGTCAGGACGAACTTATGAACAACATGAGGGTAAGACAAACATATATGATAATCTTCTTAAAATTTACTTATATATTTAATAATGTTGTAGCAATTTGGGAGAAACGCAAATGAATTAATAAAACAGGCTGCTAAAAGACAACAAGAACTGAAAGATCCACAGCTTCGTGATGATTTGGCTGCAGCACGCGCAATGCTGAAGAAACATTCGACAATGTTGTTGACTGCTTCCAAGGTTTATGTTCGTCACCCTGAACTAGACTTAGCTAAAGTGAATAGAGACTTTATTTTGAAGCAAGTTTGTGATGCCGTAAACACTATTAGTGATGTTGCACAGGGGAAATCATGTCAGCCTACAGATATTTATAGCGGAGCAGGAGAATTGGCAGCAGCTCTGGACGATTTTGATGTAGTGTTGGGTGGTTCAATGCAATGACTTTTTCTAAAGTTCAATTATTTTTAGGAAGGAGTAATTATGGATCCGTTGACATACAGCGAAAAACGTTCCCGACAATTGCTGGAGGAACGCTTAGAAAGTATTATTAGTGCCGCAGCTCTTATGGCTGATGCTGATTGTACTCGTGATGAAAGACGTGAACGTATCGTTGCAGAATGCAATGCTGTAAGACAGGCATTGCAGGATTTATTGACCGAATATATGTCAAATGTAAGTTTGTTTTATATATGTAAGTGTGCACACTTTATGGGTGTAACATTTAAATATAATGCGTATAATTAAACATAACTGAAACCAAAGTTGTTCAAATAGAATACTTTGCGATTGAAGGATTGTTTTTGCAACTTATATGGTCGAGATGTTCCTTACTCTTCCGATTAAAAAAATCAATTTTGGACAATTTTTCTCTACAAATTGAGTTTACAATAACGAAATGGAATTTCATTATACGAACGACTATGTCAAAATCACTAATTTTCGAATCGATCGTAAAATCGCGAATATAAACATAGATGTACAAATATAAGTTTATTTGGTAATTGGCATGGGTATACACTGCGTATCATAACTATAGACGCACCCTTAATTCAATTGGTATGTTAGTTGAGAAATAAAATGGACCCATTAAGTTATTGTTCACAATAAAACGATCAAAAACACATATTATTCAACAAAAATAATTAATTTATTCTTTATGGTTTCGCCGAATTCTGCACTTTCAAAATTGCTGGTGTTGCATAACTATAGACGCACAAAATTAGAAAAATTAATTTTTTTAAACTTCAATAAAATAAAATAACTTTTATAAATAATGGGTAGGGCCTCCTTTATTTTGAATAAGTTCAAAAATTTGATCCATCACACTGTTGACCAAAATTATTCGCAAGTCTTCGTCGATTGACCGCCATTCATCGAAAATCACTTCTTGGAGGTAAAATACAGTTTGGTATTGGAGGTTTTCGGCATAGACACGATGAGTCAAGATTCTACACATGTTCTCGATCGGATTCTGGTCGGAAATTTTAATATTTTTCGATTTTAACCATACTTGAGTATGGCGACTTTTATGAACTGGTGCGTTGTCCTGCTAAAAAACGAGTCCTTGATTGTTGCTGCTTTCCCAAAATTGCAAAAATTTGTCTTCCAAGACTTGAACGTACTCCATTGAATTCATCCGACAACATGGAAATGTCAAATAAAGCATTCCGTGGCTATAAAATGCTCCCAAGGTGGCGGTTACCTAAATATCGTTATTTCTTAATACGATATTTCGGTGGTGGTTCCTTAATGGCCTTGGGAGCATTTTATAGCCTTTATTTGACATTTCCATGTTGTCGGATGAATTCAATGGAGTACGTTCAAGTCTTGGAAGACAAATTTTTGCAATTTTGGGAAAGCAGCAACAATCAAGGACTCGTTTTTTAGCAGGACAACGCACCAGTTCATAAAAGTCGCCATACTCAAGTATGGTTAAAATCGAAAAATATTAAAATTTCCGACCAGAATCCGATCGAGAACATGTGTAGAATCTTGACTCATCGTGTCTATGCCGAAAACCTCCAATACCAAACTGTATTTTACCTCCAAGAAGTGATTTTCGATGAATGGCGGTCAATCGACGAAGACTTGCGAATAATTTTGGTCAACAGTGTGATGGATCAAATTTTTGAACTTATTCAAAATAAAGGAGGCCCTACCCATTATTTATAAAAGTTATTTTATTTTATTGAAGTTTAAAAAAATTAATTTTTCTAATTTTGTAAAAGTGCGTCTATAGTTATGCAACACCAGCAATTTTGAAAGTGCAGAATTCGGCGAAACCATAAAGAATAAATTAATTATTTTTGTTGAATAATATGTGTTTTTGATCGTTTTATTGTGAACAATAACTTAATGGGTCCATTTTATTTCTTAACTAACATACCAATTGAATTAAGGGTGCGTCTATAGTTATGATACGCAGTGTATGTAATTCGTGTCGAACGAAAAGTTATTTGTTACAGAAAAGGTAAATTTACAAGTAGAAGCATGTTATACTTCGTTTTTTTTATAGTTGTTTTGTTATATAAGGATCCGAGAATTCTTTGGCCCACCGTTTTATAAAACTTATACACCATATGCTTTATTTACCATAGAAATAACATGATTGTTAAAGTTTAACTTTGGATCCATTAAAATACAAAGATCCACGAATGTTTCAACTGTTGATAAAACCGAACCGTTAATATTGTATTGCCTCGTCAATGAAGAATTTCTAGAAAAATACATATGTTTACATTTGTTCAAATTTAAATTCATACAATTTAATCTGCACCACTGAAAAAGGTTATTTAAATCATTTTGGAGTAAAATGGATTGTTTCTCAGAATTATGGGTAATGAATAACTTGACATCATCTGCATACATTAACAATTTAGAATGTACTACAGAAGTTGGCAAATTATTTATAAACAATAGAAAAAGAACCGGCCCGAGGTGACTTCCTTGTGGAACACCTGAAGGTACGTTAATCGATTTTGAGAGACATCCTTCAAACAAAACTAGCTGTGATCTATTTTGTAAGTAAGATGATATCCATTTGACTAAGTTTATACTGAAACCCATATTATCTAATTTATATAATAAGAGTTCATGGTTAACCCTATCAAAAGCTTTACTAAAATCTGTATAAATGGTATCAGTTTGATTTCGCTGAACAAATCCCTTTATTACAATTGAAGTAAACTCTATAAGATTTGTTATAGTTGAAAGACCACTACGAAAGCCATGTTGATATGGACTTAAAATGGATTTAATTTTGTGAGAAATAACAGCAGTAATTAATTTTTCAAACAATTTTGGGATATCACTTCATTTTGCAATTCCTCTGTAGTTTGAGACGTTTGATAGACTACCAGACTTGTGCAACGGTACTATAAAAGATTTCTTCCATATAGTGGGAAAATAACCAAAATTTAAGGAATGATTAAATAGCAACGTAAGAGGCGTTGCTAAAGTGTCAGAACAATATTTGAGAATTATGCTAGGTATACCATCTAGACCTGGAAGTTTAATTGGTTTTAGAGTACGTAAATTTTTAGCAACATCTTGACTTTGTAAAAAAGGCATATATATTTGATCTATTTTGGATAGCCCATAAGGATATGAGTTTATATTTGGACAAACTGCAGATGAATAAGTAGAGGCGAAAAAATTTGCAAAACATTCTGCTATTTCAGAATTTTTTACAAACTCCTTATTGTTGCATTTCAAAATTGTAGGTTTTGAGGAGACTTTTCTTTTTAAGTTAACAAACTCATAAAATGACTTCGGATTAGTTTTAAAATTATTTTTGATCTTGTTGAGGTAATTATTATACAATCTACGGGACTCTATGGTAAATTTGGCGGGTTCAAAGCGCTTTGTGTGGGTCATCTCATATCGGGTCATGTGGACTATGCGTCTAATGTGGACTACCCCCATATCTTAGAAAATATTTAAAATATGACAATTCCGCCTTCATATATATTTTCCTAATTAGTGAAAGCAGACATCAAACATGATTTTGAATACATAATTGAAAAATGTGATTTGAAGACTTGTTAGCGCAAGAGTCAAACTATTTTTTTTTTAAATATAAAGAATTTATATGGTTCTTTCTTTTTTAAGTCGAAAATTATATATATATATATAATATTTGACCTGGAATATATTTAGACAACATATTTACTATGTTGTGAAAACAAATTGTTTTTATTTGTTACCGTTCTTACGCCGACAATATCAAGAAAAGAAAGTTCCTCAACGAATTTCGCATTTTATGATATATTTTATTAGTGTATGAAAAAATATACAGTAAAATCTCGATAATCCGGTTATATGGACTGCATTCCACAACTCATTTTTGATTGTGAAGATACGTTATTTGTTTTACAATCTGTATAAAAATCGTAGATCGCACGAAACTACAGTTAAAATTGTGAGCAGTGAATTTTCTCCTTATCAGTGTAGTATTTTTGCACGACGCCTTCAATAAAGAGGTCACACAAATCGTTGGCGATTTTGGTGAAATTTTTACACATTAGTATATTAAACGTTTCAATTCTTGCAATGAATGATTATCATTTTTATTTTGTGTTGTTTTTTACGATAGCATTCGATTGCCTACATTAAAATCAGACTTCCTAATTTCATCTATTGGAATAAATGTTCCCTTTCGATCTATTATAAAGATTTTCATCGCACAAATTATTCTATGGCAGATATACTTAGTAAAATGTATACTTTAATTCTGTGCACTCTAATGTAGATTTTAGCATGAATGTAGAACATATTAAGTCTAATATAACAGTATTTTTAAATGGGTAGTGCAACATACTAATAAATTGACAGTTGAAGTAGATTCTGTAGCTGCATTCCTATTCAAAATTATTAAAAATGTAAACCAATTCTACAATTTCAATAATCTGGAAAAACTGTTAATCCAAATTGGGGTCTGTATTGATGGTTATGTTTCATGGCAAAACCCGAAAATATTGCTAATTGCAATGAAACCTGATTTGTTTTATTTAGCTACATTAACTTAAAAATATTTTTTTATAAAGGTGGGACAGAAGGATAATTCCCCCGGTCTGGATCGAGCTATTGACCAGATGTGTAAAAAAACTAGAGACTTGCGACGGCAGTTGCGTAAGGCCGTGGTAGACCATGTTTCAGATTCCTTTTTGGAAACGACTACACCCCTAATTGATTTGATCGAAGCTGCAAAAACTGGTAATGAGAAACTTGTTCGAGAAAAATCAGAAATTTTTACGAAACATGCAGAAAAACTTGTGGAAGTTGCTAACCTTGTTTGTAGTATGTCAAGCAATGAAGATGGCGTTAAAATGGTGCGATATGCGGCCGCCCAAATAGAAAGTTTGTGCCCACAAGTCATAAATGCTGCATCGATTTTAACAGTTAGACCAAACTCGAAAGTTGCACACGAAAATATGACCGCATATCGACAGGCATGGGAAGTTCAAGTCAGAATTTTAACTGAAGCTGTGGATGATATAACAACTATTGATGATTTCTTAGCCGTATCGGAAAATCATATTCTTGAAGATGTTAACAAATGTGTTATGGCTTTGCAAATGGGAGATGCTGAAGTTTTACGTGTCACATCTGGAGCTATACAAGGAAGATCAGCTAGAGTTTGTAATGTTGTCGAAGCTGAAATGGATAATTATGAACCATGCATATATACCAAGCGCGTACTTGAAGCGGTTAAAGTCCTGCGTGATCAAGGTAGTTTTATATGTCTGAGTCCACTGTAGTTTTTCTAATTTTCGATATTTCAGTAATGCCCAAGTTTGACCAACGAGTTGATGTTGCTGTTGAAGCACTGTTATCGAAATCTAATAAGGAAGTTGATGAAAATGAATTTATAGATGCATCTCGCTTAGTTTATGACGGAGTAAGAGAAATACGACGAGCCGTATTAATGAATAGAGTAAGTAAATCTTTAAAATACTTAATCTTTAAGAAGAAGAATTTAATAAAGCACATTTTCATTTTGACACTTTGCAATTACTTTGCTAAATATGTCTTTAGTATTCCAATACCAAACAAGAATTATTAACTTGGCAATTAGTATAGTTGAAAAGGCGACACATGCCAATGAGCAAATTCAACATAGAGAACACGTAAAAAAATACAGTTTCTAAATAAGATACAAACATTTAATATATAAGATCAGATAATTCAAAAAATGTAAATTTTTATCACTGATATGAAAAAATAACTATACACTCTGTGCATATAATGTATCTAAGAAAACGTTTGGAGTATGTAGCCGGTGTAATGCTAAAATAGTGAATGTAGACATAGGTAGCACCAAATCATGAGCCAAACGTTTTCTAGCATGAAGTGGCAAGGCCATATCTGTTACATAAATTCCACGAAGAGATGAGTTTAGCTGAAATACCACCATATTTATATGGTGGCAGAAATTTAGTTTTCACAAAATTTAGTATGACCATAATTACTCCGAATCGCATCCGTCATGCCTAACAACAGAGACGAAGTACTCCTATTTCTTCAGGGCATCATCGAGCATGTTATTTCTCTTCAAGTATGATGTTATTTGATATTTTAAAATGTATTGAACTATTTTTGAGCAGATGGGTAATATAGAATTCCGACGAAACTCTTGAATAGCCCCAGCAATGTTTTTCTTTTTAACTGGGACAATTCTAGCCAGTTTCCAGGCAACAGGAAATACAGAGGTGTGTCAAGATATTGTTAACCAAGTGAAGAAAATTGAGAAAAGCTATGGGGAAAGGCAACGAATTATCATGAGCAGTAATACCTAAATTGCTATTAATCATAAAAACCCTTCGGCCACAAAAAATTACAATGTAAATAAATGTAAAAGAAAGAAAACCATGGAATATATTGATCTGCAAAAGAAACATTAGGTACATCACAATCCATGTTGCTTTGTCAATCTTCAGCACCAAAAAAAGTTTCACACTGTTCTTCAGTGTCAAGTGTTTTACACAGTCTATTTGGAAACATGATATTCACTTTAGAAAAATGAGTATCTACTACATCATTCAAAGTGATACAATCGAGTCGATGGAAATTTGCCATAATGGAGTCGCTCGCATGAACGGTTGTGAGCTTAGTAACTACAGCCTTGCCGCCAAACACATAACAGCAATGTTGTATCTCACTCGGTTTAATTTCTACATTACATAGTCTTGCCATCTTCATGACGGTTACGGATAGATCTTGACAATATATTTATAATTATGTCAACTCGGTTATGGCGCCTTTGGCGGACCAGTACCTATTCTGTAACCTTTAAACAACATTCGATATTGTGAATGAAATATGAAATATATTTAAACGTTTTTTCAGGCCGAACTTTAACAATATCTACACTGATGCATTCAGGATGAACAAAATTATACTCCTTTGTTAATAACTTTTAACAGGGTTTAAACGCTAACACCAAAATGGCAAAAACACCGAAAATTACCGCATTGCTAGCTAAATTCATCCTCAAAATATGCAGTACAGTCAAGCACAACTGCAACAAATAGCAACACATTACAAAAAATTATAGCAAGCAAAACTAAAGCTTCTTGATATTGTCAGCAGCTAAAAAATAACAACAACTACAACATAATTCACAACGCGACTAACAACCATAGCTTACAATGAAGCGACTTTACTATCACTGCTTGCAAGATTTTTAGCCTTTTACCCCGAGCATTTTTCTAGTTCAGTGTTGGCCATTGAAATTTTATGAATGATATTAGGGAATTAAACATCGGGATTATGATAATAAATTTTTTCGAACAAAGACAAACCTCTAGTTTTTTATTTAATATATAATTTAGTTTTTAGTACTATTATTGAGTTTAAATTAAATAACAACACACAAAATGAAATGTCTTTTTTCTAATTTCTGCGTTGGCAACACGCAAACATAAAAACAACCCTCGGCTGAATATTCGTCGGCAACGAAATATGAATATGTATGTAGTCGTATTGCCGATTAGTCGTAACAAAAAAGCTCGCATGTGAAATACGTGCTTAGCACGGATGCTACGAACTAAAAAAGCTAACCGTTTGCTGATTTAAGTGGGCCACACACGTCAAACATGTGCGTTCGATCGGTGTGAAGCTCCTAGCCCACACACGTCAAACGGATCCACAAAACTTCATTTATTATTTATTTTTGAAGCGTTAAGATGGACAGCGAAAGTGATGACGGAAAAAAGACCAACTATTTTTATTTAATATAAATGTATTAAATATTTTTATTTTATTCCAGAAAAACATTTTTATTTATTTTATATGTGTAAAAAAAACATCAAAAAATTTTCCAAAACGTTTTTTTTTTCATATGTTTGACATTGTCCGCTGATCCGCACTCGACGAAATTTCGCAACAAATGAGGAAATATCCACACACCAGGCCACAGACGTCAAACATGTGCGCGTCGCACAACGAAAAATTAAAAATTTTTAATTTCTTTCGATCGGTGTGCGCACCGGCAAATCGGTGTGAACACCGTACCACACACGTCAAACATTGCTTCGATTCACACCGATCGAACGCACATGTTTGACGTGTGTGGGCCACTTTAGTCATAATGACTTTTACGCATATGGGGCAGGAACATCTTCATCACGATATGTATTTTATATATATGCTGTCACTTATTTCATCCATATGTAATTCCTTATGTGTGTCCAAATTAGCAGCGTACACAAAACTTTTTTTTGTGTTCAAATCGGCATATGTAGTGTATATATGACATAACCTTTAAACAAAAAACAATTTTATTTGTTCTTAAATCAACATCATTTTTTATATTAAATACCTACAAACGAAATAATAATTTGTAATTGTTGCCTTTTCATCCTTTTCTTTGACTTGCAATTTAAATACTTTCTTCCAACAAAGTGTTTCATTCAAACAGCTGATTTCCTTATGTTTCACATACGAAAATAGAGCGCGTTCTATTCGGAAGAAAGTACATATGTAATTGCATATCGTTTTGACACATTGAAATTTCCGTATGTTTCACATGACGAGTTCGAGTTGCATATGTAAATAAAGTGACAGCACATATGTAAAATACATATCGTGTAAAAACACCATTAGCAGAGCCGTAATTGAAACAGCGTAAATGGTGGCAAAACAACAAAGTACAATCTTCAGCACAAAACGTCAGCAATCAAAAGAGCAGCAACTAACTCACGGCAAATAATTAACAGAAAACAGCGCATCCACCAACTGACTAGCACAGCATTCAAAAGATATTGTTACGAATATAACTTTAGATTTAAGTTCATTTAGATGAATTCCGTTAATTTAAGAATTTGAATTGTAACGTAAATTTCTACTACGCAGTTTATTTGAATAACTTACAACAACAACCACTGTATAGATTTTTCTACATCCTTCCATTTCCTCTTTCATTTTCTATTTTGTTATTGTCGTACAATTCTTGTTAAACGTCATTCCTCTTTCTTTGTTATTCCCTCGCCTGTATATGTGTTGTTGTTATTCCTCTTTCTTTGTTATTCCCTCGCCTGTATATGTGTTGTTGTTATTGTAAGTTTGTTTACTCAAGTTTGTTGTTGTTATTGTTCACTCAGTAAGTTTGTTGTTGTTATTGTTACTCAATGTGTTTGTTGCATTGGTAGATTGTTCGTGATCTAGGTGTTACCAGATCGTCTAGAAACTTCTGTAGCGACAGGCAGGGCTCATATAAATAGAGGGAATGGAAAGGCAGTGAGTCAGTTGTGAATCAGATCGCGAATTGAAACCGTCGTGTAAAGTAAAGTGCAAAGTAAAGTTGTGTGAATAAAATCATTGTAATAATCGTAATCAGAACGAACCCGCGTTTTATTTGGTACGAACTGTATCGGGAAATAAAACAACGTCTACACGGGAATAAGTGAAGTCCAAGAACGTAACAATTGGTGTCGGAAGTGAGATTACGATAATACTACGATGAAGTTTAAGGATCTACGAGTGGAAGACTTGAAGAAGGAGCTGAATAAATTGGAATTGTCCTCTACTGGCAACAAGGCTGAACTACAAAAACGTCTGTTGGATGAGTTCGAGCGCCGTGGTATGAACATCGATACATATGAGTTTGACAGTAAGGATGAAGTGGATTTATCGGAAATGGGCGAATCCAACTGTGGGGAAGTCTCGTCAGTAGCTGGCAGGGGTGACGATTTAAGAGAAATGCTGGCTAAAATGTTTGAGCAAAATTCCAGAATGTTCGAAGAGAATTCCAGAAAGTTAGATGAACTCAAGGCAGATAATTGTAGAAAGTTAGATGAACTCAAGGCAGATAATTGTAGAATGAACGAGAAACTCGAGAACATTACGGAAGTTATTGGAAGGAGAGTGGAAACCGTGGAGATCCAAATTAAAGAGTTGGATAAGAAAGTGCAGTCGGTTGACGAGAAGATTCTGTCTGTAGATGAGAAATTTCTGGCCCACGACCACAGGTTTACAAATCTGGAGAAGAAAATGTCGGAACTGGAAATCAAAGGTGGTCCGGTGCGAGCTCCTGATAACACACTAAAAATCAAACCTCCTGTATTCGACGGCTCTACGTCATTCAATGTTTTCAAGTTACAGTTCGAGACAGTGGCTTCTAGAAATTCGTGGAACGACAGCGACAAAGCGGTTGCACTACTTCTGGCATTGAAGGGCAGTGCTGCTGATGTTATACAGAGTATTCCTGTCGCTTCTAGGAGCAACTATGAAGATGTTATTGCTGCACTGGAACGTAAGTACGGTGGCGAACATAAACAAAACATCTACCTTATGGAACTAAGGGGAAAAGTACAGAGGGCAAACGAGACGTTACAAGACTTTGCAGCTGAGGTGGAACGTTTGGTGCTAATGGCGTATCCAGGAGAGAATCACCCATTGCTGGACCGTATGAAAATCGAAACCTTTGTGAATGGC